GGAATAGATGTACTTTTCGAATTGTTTGAAGAAATTAACATAAAGGGAAACTAAACAATGATAACAGATGAGCTCAGAGCATTTTTGGGTTCAGTTGTCTCCTTCAATTCCTGCAGGAACATGATAGAAAAGAGACAAAGATTGATAGACATAAAGAAATTTTAAACATTTTTATAATGATTACTTGGTTTATGATAAACATTGCTCATATATCGTAATAAAATAAAGAACATCTTTTGGTAAGAATGTTCTGTCTCGTTGCTGTAAGACATTCGCATAAAAAATATAGACATTTCTTTCAGAACAGTTATTCTATCAAAAATTTATCAACCTGATATTTTTATGTAACTTGCTGACTATTTTTACATGTGTTTATCTATTTCACATTACTTTTGTGGTATTAAAGTTTGCAATCAATCAACATTTGTCTATGGCATGCTGATAATCATAGCAAGGTATACATACCTAACACAATTTTTTTTTAATACTTTTCATGCAGATATAAACATATTAGCTTCTTTCCGTGTAGTAGTCCGCATGCCTACAATAATGAAGGTCGCCGAAAGTGGGTCAAATGTATTCTCTAGATTGCAATGTCAAAAGTACTGCAATGCCGTCTATCACACGTTTTTGTTGCCACAATGTGTAAGTCACTCTTGTTATCGCAAAGGAGTGTTGGTGAGTAGCTCCAATTAAATGGATTTTCCGTCTGTTTAGTCAGTAAGTCCGATTAAAAAATCAATTTGATGTATAAAATACGTTAATCATAGTTAATGTGTAGATTTATCTTATATGTGGGTAAGTTTTAAGTAGAATAAAGTTCCAATTTCTTTGAAATAGTCACCTAAACTAATATAAGTAATTACATACAGAGCACTATAGAAAGACAATTATTTTAATTGACCACCTTAATGAAAAAAGATTTTAAACAACCAAATTCTATATAAATTGATACAGTTGTTATTGTTAATATGCCTACAGAAATAGATAAACATTAGTACTAACTGAACTGTAAGTAAATAATTGAATGCTAAGCTTTGCAGCAGCAATGTTTCCATATAAAAAATTAACATTATAATTTGCTTATTTGCTCATATAATTTTCTAAATGTTGCCAGTATTTCACACAAATGATGCCTAGTAATAAACTTGAAAATCAATATCAGATTAGAATACTAATAATGGCAAATGTCAATAGTCTCGGACAAAAGTAACATGTAAAGAAATAGAATTATGGTAAAACATGTGTATGAAACTTCTGAAATATTTGTGGCCAAATGTAAGAAGATATATTGAAACTCTCAGTGGGACGTTAATCAGTAAAATTAGAGTGGAAGTGAAGATTAGGGTGAGAAAAGCTTTTGAGTTTGATTACTATATGTATCGAGTCAGCATTGGAAACAGGATTAGCATTGGTATTGGAGCTTGGAACAAGAATAGGATCCAAACATTGATTGGAATCAGGCATGTTTGAAATCGATAAATAGCTAGAACAAAATCTGAATGCTCAACAAAATTATGGAAATGGGGATGGGGATGGAAATTGGACATAAGATCAGGATCATGTTCAATATCAAGTTCCAAAAAGGATCAATATCAAATTCAAAATCTGGATTGAAATGGAAATGGGGATCATAATCGGCTTTGGATTCGACATTCAATATCTATTGAAATGAACTTGTAGTCGGCAGCTAGTTCAAATGACACGGTTTAAATAATGTGCACTACTATGAAATAGATTATTGCATACATTGTATTTGGTGTCGCTTGAGGTGTTAGCGGGGGCAGGCAGGGCTCCCAAGTTGGACTTCTTTCTCCGTTTCTGTCTCTCCATCTCCTCATCTATTTCCTTATCCCTGAAAAAAATTATTCACAAATATGAAATTAAATGACAGAAAAATATAGGTATATATAATAATCTATACGTTTCTCAATCATATAATTTCATACAAAATATAATAAATATAAATTATTTAATGATTACATGCTAAGTTCAACTTCCAATAGTGATATATTTACCCAATATGCGTTGAACTTTATACTGATATGCTGTAGACAATATAGGACTTCAACATATATATAATACTGATTTTATATGTTCATTTTGATATCAGAACAGACCGATATGTTGAAAATATAATAATAAATAAATAAACTCGTGTCTATTTCCCAGAAAGGTAAATAAAGACTATAGATTTCCACATGGTACGATATTTGCATATCTCTCTTTTTGATCTTTTATTAATATACCGCCAATTTAATAGAATTTTTTCAGACAGCCCTTGCCAACGTTTCTATCACACATTCTATAAATTGTTTCTACTTTCATCCATCCTTCACAGATGGTCAAACCACCGCAATGTGTTTTTCTACTCTAATCACTAGATCTTTCAAATCCCACAGCTCTCTAACATCACTGTTCCTAAATCTATCTTTCAAACATACTCCACACATATTATGCAGAGATCACATCTCTACTGTATTGATTCTACTTTCATTTTTCTTCTGCCATACCCAACTTTTACTACCGTATGTAAGAGGAGAGATCAGGAGCCATCAGCCAAACGTAGTTGTCATGAGGTATTTTTATTATTGCTAAATATGATTGCAAAATATCTGCCCATAGTTTAAAATAAAGACATATTTTGAAGTGGGACAGGCTTGTTACTTAGTAAAGCATTAGTTATGGTAATAAAAAAAATAAATTGAATGTTGACTCCAAACATGTATTTGTTAGTTTTGATTTTGGATGGTACAAGTTTTTAAAATTTAGTATTTAGATGTTTTCCAATAACTTTTGATGCCTTTAGAAGTGTTGTGGTGAAGCACTCTCAGTATTGGGTGTGCTAACTGTTAATTGTGTGCTAAATGATGTTTCCATTTGTGAATCTATTCTAAACTGTAAACTTATTCTTTCTGTTAAGTAATGAATACACCAGAAATAGCTGTTCCCTTAATTCTTGACTGAGCAATATCCATTCACTGTTGACAACTCTCAACAATAAAATTCAGGTGTTGGATATGAACTTAACAAGGATTAAATTAAGAATCTTTCCCAAAAAAGTAATAGGCAGATGCGCAGCTCAATTTATTTCTAAAGAGTGCCAACCCACGGTGGCAGTGCTCTGTATGTAACAATTTTACATTTGGTCAGATTATGATATAGATGTAAACATTTCATAAGCTGCAGAAAGTAGAATGATCTTAAACATGTCGGTAACAATATTCCCATGTATAATGTTTGCTTGCCAACATTATACATCGCCTGTGAAAGATTTTCAATTAAAATTTTCAAAACCAAAGAAGGAAACGGCGAGCAACCTCATATAATTTCTACTGAGGCAACCAATTTATGACAATCGAAATACCATCATCGACATTTAACTTGCACGTAAAATAACATTCTATTTATGTTTGTGTATTATTTGACTTCCTTAAAAGGTTTCAAACCTTGGATATCTAAAGGCTAAAGCTCTGTGTGTCCATGGGCGCTGGCTGTGTGCCCAATAAATCTAGCTCTGTGCTTAAGGACTCGGATTGTATGCCCCAGGATCCAGCTTCTGTGCAAGTGCCCATAGTCTAGGATGGCTCTGTATATTCTATTGTGTAATTGTATGTATAACATGCTAGAAAACACTTTAGCGAAATTATTTTTTTCAGTAAATGTTACTCAATTTTGGGAATATATTCTAACACTACTTGTGTCCAGAATGTAGAGAGTTCAGTGTTTAGAACACAGATCATATTTTTTATAATGCATATGAGATTTACATTAACGCAGTACAGAGAATTTGGGGCTATACATGGCTCCGCTCAAGTCTTTTAAAAAAATCATTTAAGCCATCAAACTCTGCCTTTTGTTAACTACATGAATAGGTTTGATAAAAAAAATATTGTAAACAACAAGCACAATATCATTGTTACATCTCAAAATTAGTGTTGTTGTCTGGTTAAATAAGCCATTTTATGTGTTATTTAAATATAACACATAAAATGGTAATTCAATGACAATTAATGAAGAAGAATTAAAGTATAAATCATATAAATAATCAAAAAGTTACTATTTTGGACATTTTTCGACAAGTCATTACGTGCATTTTTTTAATTGACTGGTCACCTGTCAATTGTCATGTCATGCTTAAAGCCATTTTTAAATTCAAAAGGATATGGATATTCTTTTTTACTGAAAAAAGAAGACGGAAAGAACTTTATTAGGAACCAAATATTACTCTAAAATAAAAATGCTGCAACTCAACTTGTACTAATATTGATTTCTATGAAAGACACTGCATTCCGGTGGATTTTTTAGTTTTTATAATAAAGAAGGTTACAATATTCACTAAAGAGATTATCGTCTGCCTGCCCTGCTTACTACCATGTTTCATCACATCATTATGCCACATCCTCAATATTCTGAAGGATACAGTTTTTTTGGACACAAATTTAGGTTTCTGCCCTCAACAATTCTTTATTTAGTTCAATAATATTATACTTATGTAGGTAAGGAGACAGATATTCAAAATATTTATGACCTATTAATTATTGTGGATATTCGATAACTGTATATCACTCTTTTATCAACACTTGTTTGTAAAGTGGCACCAATTTTATATCTGTATATTATTAATTACCATAATATTAAACACAAGGACATATTTGATTATAAAATAATTCATATACCAAATTAGAATATAATGTTATACATTTAAAAGGCCATAATAATTAAGAACCATATTCCCCGAATTGCTCTTGTGTCTTTCATATTATTTAAATATTTCTTTATATTTATATATATTTTACTTTGTTTTTGCATCATTAAAATTGATTCTAACACCCAATAATGTACAAAAAAAAATGGCAATATTTAAATTGCCAGAAATATGAAAAAAAAAAATTGTTATAGAATTAAATGACAATGAATAAAAAGTTTGGTTTTTATTCGGTAACTCACCATTATACAAAAATGTAACGATTTTACCAATATCTTTAATACAGTTTGACTGTCTGTTGGCACATTTGGTAGTGACCCTACTTGCTATGCTGGATCGTGGGTTTGATTCCCACACATGAAGACAAACATTTACTTTATTGGAAAATAATGGTTTCTCAAGTCTGGCTGTTTTTATGTTTGATATGTAAATATTTCCAAAAAAAAAGTACATGGACTATCTGGTACCCACAGCAAAAGCCTAAATTATGATTTCCAAAAAATTAGGCAACATCACATCATTAGTAACCATTCTAAATTAACCTTTTTTTAAATTATGGAGTTAATATGAAATAACAATACAGTTGATTTTAAAAGGAAACCACTTGTTCATGATATGAATTACTGAATACTGATCAGATAAATATTTGTATATAAAAAAAACTTATTTAAAAGTATCCTTGGTGTAAACATATCACACTTAAGGATAGAATCATTTCAAAAATATTGCCATTTTGGATTTACAAATGATAACACTTTAAGCCAAACATAAAAAGCCTCTAATTATTCTATATCAAATTAGTCCAAGTACAGTTTTTATTTCTTATCATTCTTATAAATGTTATTCAGATATTTGATATTGCGCATTCTTTGAATTGAACAGCATCTGTCATTAATTGAAATTAACTACAGCAAATATCATTGTTTAAAATTAACCACAAAAAGTGGCATTTATAAACTGTAAACTTTAGCAAAGAATAAATCATACCAATTGACTTTAGGTGGAGGTGCAGGTACCCACTCCTTAGCTATGTACTTCTTCTGCTCATATTTCGCCCTTATGAATGATTCCAGTGAAGAGTCGGTCTGCGGCCTTCTGAATGAGTCTGGTAGGTTGGCCTCGTATACTGCCCGAGCTCTAGAATTCCCCATTTGCTGCAGACATACCTGCATAGACACATCATTAATTTGTAACAAAAATAACAATGCAGATTAACTTGGAATAATTATATTAAGACTACACACAAATAGGCATATTGCATCGCACTAAACAGATATTTTAAAAGTGAAAAAGAAACTATGCACAATAATTTTAAAAATTCTATGAAATTTGTAACATAGTAATAAATGGCAAAATACAAAAATAGTCATAGACAAAATGTTCATTATGGACGTGAGATTCTGTATGGTGTCAAGTCAGATAACAACATTTGTCAATTGATTTTTGTCATAGGCACACTCTTGGCATCAATAGTCATTACAAAGATAATAAAGAACAACAAACAGCAATGGGCACAAAATGAACAAATAACCTTATCAATTTTTTTGATACCCTTTGTTTGCTAAATTTATAAAACTGGCTACACACAAAGTGTACAAAATGATGTGGTGGCATATGTTATTTTACCACTTGTTCAGGTGTCCACGAGTCCAAGTTGACACTCTTGACTTTGGAGATGTGCACGCCCAGGTTGCGGTGGATGCCGGCGCACCTGATACACAGGAATATGCCAAGGTTCCATGATGCCCAGCGAGGACCTGATATTGTGAAACAAGTAAGATAGATAAAATATTATCACAAGGATTATATTTGGTTTGATTCTCATAAAATTACATTAAAATTAACTAACTTAATGATTAAAAGTTATGTTATTGCAGACAGACCTAAAATGCAATAAAAAAAATTATCTAAAATGATGCCAAATTGGTGGCATATTAAAAAAAGGCCAAATTTTAGGCACCCGAAACCGACAAGCTTGCATGAGAAGATTGATGGATGTTAACAAAGTAAGAGAGATATGCAACGATCTTACCATGTCGAAATCTGTAGTCTCTGCCTACCTTTCCGAGAAATAGTTGTGAATTTATAAATAAAATAAAAATCTAAAATGATTCATGATTAGCGTTAAAGTACACGTTAAACATATGACATCAGAATTTATGCATTACCAAGAAAAATGAGTATGAATCATAAAGAGTTTTTACATTTATTTTTTTTTTAACACAAAAATATTCACTGTTCTTGAAAAGCATGGTAGAAAATAAAAACTGTTACGGATGTGCAAATATATGGGACGACTTTTATTAAGTACATTTTTGCAGACATTTTTTGTACCATTTAGTTACGAATATTTTCGAAATGAATCAAAATTTTTTTATTATATTAGAAATCAAAAAATAATGGAAAAGTGCTCAAGTTGACAAATGCGTTTCAATTTTTTAAAATGGTTTGCTTTCACAGAACCATATTTTCAAGGATATCATTTTAAATCTTAATTATTAAGATTTAATCTTCTACATTAGTTTAATTTAGACAATGCTTAGGTGTACCAATATATTCATTTATAGGTTCATTCATTTAAAATTGTCATTTGAATGGTTAGTTCATTTAAGTCCACCATAGTTAATAGTACCATCAGGGATGTGGGGGTTATGCTGATTAAAATTTTGCATTAACCAACATAAATATCATAAAAGTGAAAAAGGAGTGAAACTTAAGACATTGGTTTTTTTCCAAAGTACAGAATAATGTGTACTAAACACAAATAATTACAATTGTGCCAGTAGATCATCTGCTTATGTATTTCTTCTGTTAGACAGTGCAATAATAACCTTAAATTACTTAGTTCAAACTAGACGATAGTAAACAATAGACACCAAAAATAACTAATTATTAATCGTGTAACAGTAGTAGAATAGAAACAAAAAATACATAAACCACTGCTTATATGTCATAAGAAAACAAATCTATAGAGCGAATATGTGTGGTGGAAAGGATGACAGGATGACAAGGGTTGCCTTAGAAAATCCTATATAGACCAAATCGGTGGCACATTAAAAATACTGGCCAAGAGCATGCCGGATTATGCTCATTATAGGGTTCCGTAGCCATTATTGCAAAGAAATGAACTATAGATGGAAAAACTATGTCGTTACATTTTTTCCCATGTTTCCCGCACAGAATAAGTATAAACACTTTAGTCACCTATAACCAGAGAAACAAGTAGGTATGTTGACTATTACTTTTAGAATGGTATAAACTAAAAAGCACCAATAAAAAAACATATCTTCATGTCATTTTGTTGAAAAGTGCAGTTTTTCAACAATAACTTAAAAACAGTTTATCCGATCATGTTCAAAATAATTTTCGTTGAAAGAATTTATTATTTGTTACCCTTGTAAAATTTTTTAATTCTTTGGACATATGGTTTAAAAAATAAAAAAAAGTGGATACAATTTGTACTACTTTCAGAGCAATTATAATTAAACATTAAATGTTCATTTAATGAAAAAAATTCCTTAGAAACCCGTGTTTTTAAAAGAACTGTTAAAATATATACCAGACATTGACTTTTGGGGGAAAAAATTTTTTTCAGCTTCTGTTACATGTATAGAGTGCCCCCCTTAGAAATATTTATTTTTGTTATCTAACTACTAAACTAAGTAGCGGCTTATACAAGACACTTATACTACAAATTTTATCAATACATATCTTGTAGTGTTTGAGTAAAATACCTGTGACATATGGATGGACGGCCATGATCAAAGGCGGTTTTTGCCATTTTGGCTCAGAGCCTTAAAGAGGACCAAATTTTAACCACCCCAAACCGACAAGCTTGCATGAAAAGATTGATAGATATTCGTAAAGCGAGAGAGTTATGCAAAGATGGTACCATGTGGAAATCCATAGTCTGCCTACCTTCGGGGACATAGGCTTGAGTTTATATTATTATTATTATAAATATCTCAATTGTTTAAAGTTCTCTTTTAATAGTGCAAACATAAATGACACTAATATAGTGCACATTGACACTATATTACAATATTAGGATATACTACACTTAAAAGTTAAGATGTTCATAAGTTAAAAAAAAAAAACAGTAATAAACTGCACATAGTCAAGTACTTTAGACGGAAATTTCATACAAATAAACCTGATATACATCAATCACTACAAACAAAAATTAATAGAGTAAATAAAAAATACTATAAACGGCAGCTAGGTATGAGATGCTTCATGAATTACGTCACTACTTCCTATTACATACATCAAGACTTGTTCTGATGGTGCAACAGTTTAAGCTGCCTCCATACCTGCGCGCTATCTGTGATTTCAATAGAACTAGTGAAGAGAGGTAAATTATAACAGATGCCAAGAATTAACAGTACTACACAAGCTTCATTCATTTTTATTGAGTAATCATCATGTGCTCTGAGACACTTGAAGTGTTGTAATTTCAATATGAAACAAAGTTTCAATATGAAATCTCACATAAACTATACATTTTTTAAAACTATTTAATATGCCATTTCTCAAGCTATTAATTTTTGTAAAGCTGGAGTGAAAACAGTCTTATGATTTTTAAAGAAACCTCAATCTTCATTTGATCTATTAGCCTGCCGATGTTCACAATATTTAATTAATTATTTATTTAAACTAAAACCACAAAAAGGATGGTTGCTCTCTAAAAGTTTGAAGATATCATAACTTTCTCAACAAAAAACAAAATCTCAAGTACATGAGTTCAGCACACTTGACCAGTTTCAATTAGTACTAATAACTACAATAATGAGGAAAGAGGTGAGCTATTTGCATAAACACCATATCCACATATTCAGCTTAATTAGTATGACACAGAATGATTAATAGGTCCACATGTAAATTTAAATGCCTAGTTGAGAATTGAACAATTAACTCATCTGTATTAAGACAATACACAGGGTTGGGCAGTTTGTTACTTGCGTTTCATTACAATTTTGTGATTCAACATTAACATGTACAGACAGCAATACATATATGGGGCATAAACAAGAATTAAAACAAAATAAATACAATTTAATTAAAAACAAATGGAAAAATCAATTTCAATTTTCATACAAACTCCAATCCCGTATGAATACAAAACTGATGTAAAACTTTCAATTCATAAACATTAATTCACACATGAAAATTGGATCCATAAGAGGCAAGTGCTAAGCAAAATATACATCCTCTTAATACTACAATGCAAAAAATATGCTAAGTGTTTTCACATGGTTATAAAAAAAATAAGGATGAATGCTATATTAGTTGTGGGTTTTCGCCAAGATTAGCTTTAGATTTCCCTTCTTCTACCACACGGAAAGGTGTTGAGCAAGCTGTTC